AAGCAGACAAATAAGCCTCCAGATAAGGATACGTTTACAGCCGTCCTATTTCCCAATGCGCGTCCCAGGAATGGTGGTGGGATTGCTTTGTGTCAGACATTCATACATGGAGATGAACAAGGAATGGCATCCCTGGACTGGACAGAGCCCCATGGAAACAGGCACGGGGGTGGGGAACCCCAAATGCCTCCAGGACGCTGCCTTCTGCCTCTCTGCTCACCTGTGGGGGACAATTTAATGCCCAACACATACACGAGAGGCAAGAAAGTGATGTACTACATTCTAGCAGAAGTGAATATGCATTAAAAAGCTTGCATATGACCTATAGCCTGGGGTTGAAAATTGTAATACAAATTAGGATTATAACAAAGTCACTGATTAGGCATTTAAATAATTAGCAGTCAAATTAAATAGCTGTACTCCTGAAGAAAACAGAGGACTCGTCAATGGTTTTCAGGCAGATTTTCTTGGCAGCAAAAAGGGCTCTTTAATTTAGTGCAGCCTTTCTGAGATGAGTAGAAAACTTGGTATCTAATGGGGTTCAATGAGAAACACTGAAAATTGTTCAACAATAATGTTCTGGAATGACGTTTGCTTCCAAAGCATTCAAATTCAGATAAAATTATTTTAAAACTATTATAGAGTGTTGCTAAGTTAGAGCTTCAAAAGTTTTGACGATGTTAAATTTCAGCTAAAAAGGCCTTCAGCAACTACTTCAATAATTGATAATATATTTTTTTAGAGAATAGGAAAGCACAAGTTTCTGGTAGAAAAAGATGGAACATTTCAACAAGATATATACATTTTTGGTAGGTGGAAAGCTTTTGTTAGGTAAAAAACTTGTTTTGAAAAGCTAAAATAAAGTGAACCAGGTCAAATATTGGATAGTTTTGTACTAACAAAGAAACAAGATTTTCAAGAACTCTCATTTCTTTTTTAGTTTATTTTTTATTTATTTCTTCCTTCTGCATGTTTTTACAGTCCTTGTTCAATGGACAGAAGATTCAATAAGGCGTGAAAGGGAGAAAGATTGTTTAAAAAAGGTGTAGGAGAAATTGATTGAGAAATCTATTTACCGTGGAGAAGACAATATTCAATGGTTGTAATAAATACCAATACTTTATCAGCTCCACTCTCACCTGGTTGCTCTGCCTACGTTAGAAATCAGACTTACATGGAAAACTGATACTTTGCACCACAGGAAAATAACACGTCTAAGGATGTAGCTCCCTGGGTAACATCCCATTGATGCCAAACAGGCTTTGGATCAGGGTATGAAATGGGTGAGGCAGCGCTGGCTGCAGGAGGCAGGCTGCTGGAGCGGTACCTGCCGACAGCAGCGGTCGGGATGGGAGTGATGAATTTGCCTTATTGCAGACCCTGAGACTGCAGCACACAGGCACTCACATGCCCTGTATAGGTTTTCAGGTGCTCAAATGCACGCAATCCCTGGAAATAGTGAACTGCCACAAACTACTGCTGTGGTCAATGCTCCCCTATAATATCAGTGATTGTCCAATGAGTGCTTGATGCAGGCAAGGAAGTGGCTCTGCGTTGCTTTGCCACTGAGCTCCCAAGAGGGAAGGAGCCTGCAAGAATTCTGAAACAAAACCAAGTTATTGCCACTCCATGGTTGCAAATGTGTGTGAAGATATTTGCATTACAGGTTCTATAACCATTAGCGCCAACTAGCAGTTCAGCGATGAAGAGAGAATGATTATGTACTGGAGAAGACATGGTCACACAGATGCTCTCTGATAAGAAAAAACAAGTGTAACACATGGGTTTAGATACAGGGCTGCTGTATGCCTCAACGCTGGACAGAGAGGTGTCTAGAAAAATTTTGGAGTCTAATGGCTCAGCAGTTTGATGTTGTGCTAAATATCCAGCTGCAACACAAAGAGCAAATTAAGAAGAACATTCAGGTTAGTTGCAAGCAGGAAGACAGTTTTATTGATCTCAAAATAGAGATTTTAACTGACAGAAATAAATTCCAAGACTGCAAAAAACCCAAACTTGCCCCCAAACCATTACCCACTACAAACAAGACCTTGCTTCCTATAAGGGAAATGAAAAACAAATACTTGTGTTTAGTATTTTTTTAGAAAAAATGGTATTTTAATTGACTGAAGGAATTATTTCACACCAAACTGTTTGCCAATGGAGAAAATACACAGTGCAGTGGTGATGCTCAACCAGTCTAGATGGATTACCTGCATGGTTTGAAGGCTGTTGTTGAGAAGGTTTAGTTAATACCAACAAGAGCAAAATTGCTGGACAACGTCATCAGTGAAAATTTGACCTTTGTTGATGCGGGGTTATCCATTTAGGGGAGGGTGACACACTTAAACTCCAGTATTGCACGCTAAGACATGGAAGATATCAAGAGAGACTTGAACCATCAGCTTCTCACAATATAGTTATACAGCACCTTGCATGAAGGTAAGCTAGTATTGGTGGATTCCTTTTGATAGATCTATGGCAATAAGTTTCTGATAATGGGTTCATTACACATTTGTGTACTTTGATAAGTAAATGAGTGAACTGCAGAAAGTGGAGATGAAGGGAACTGGAAGGATGTATTTGGCGCAGTTAATAAAGCACTGTCAACTGCGCAGCCGCGAGTGCAACGTGACCCCTTTACCTGCGGTCCTGCCTTGTGACACCTCTCCTGATGGAGGAGTTGTGGGCTCATATAAATTGGCAGAGGGTAGTGAGAAGCCATCATACATATCATGCACTTCTACAAAAACTGAAAGAAATGATGCACAGTTTGAGAAAGAGGCCTTAGGGAGAATATTTGGAAAATGAAATCAGATTGATACCAACATGGAAGTTTCAGTTGACAAGCAAACCCTTCCATTAAACCTTTTATTCTCCCTCTCATCCTCCAATGTTGCACCTGTTTGTTGATTTTTGTCTGAAATCAAACTGTAAAGAAAGCAGAGGCACCATGAAGTCTCTAAACATTGCTGTCATGTAATACAGACAGATCTGTAGTTAAGCTAACTTAACAGGAGGCTGCGGATGCCACAGCAGATAAGACAAATTCATGGAAGTAAAAGCCACTGAGAACTATGAAGCACTGAAGATTCAACCTCTGGTTCAATGCATCGCCAAGCCACAGATTGCTGGAAGGCTGTGGTAGAAGACAGGTTATTGGGTTCCTTCCCTATTTGTTATCCTTCCCTTCGCATCTCATGCTAGCCACCCTCAGTGACGGGATTTGAGCCTACATAGATCCCGGATCTGAGCAGGTACAGCTGGCCTAGATCATAGCTTCATAGCTTTGGTGTTAAAAGAGAAGGTGCTTTAGCAACTACTGTAATACAGCACTGGTCTTTCATATGCACAGACTGCCATGTGGCACCCCGCGAACACTTGTTCTGGAGCCCCAGTCGCCGATTCACCCAAGTATATTGGCAGCCTAGGCACTGGGCCTGATCCAATACACACAGCACACGTCCTCCTCTAAAATGCAGTCATGCTTAAAAAGGATGAGGATAAGGAAGGTGTAATAGGAAAAAATTTGTATTCGTAACTCCTGATCCTTCAACATATTTGTTTTAATTGCACGGGAAGTAGACTGAGTACACAGATATTGAGGACTCTGTAAAGTTAAATGTTTAACCAGGAAAGTAATAGTGCTTCAATGAAAACACAAGGTTTTCTTCCTAATTAAAATTTCACTTGTGCAGTATTTGATTTGATTTTTCACTCTCACAAATGTACTCATTTCTGACTATTAATGTTGCATCCTGATGCCAGTATATGTGAATAAGTAATGAGTACATAATCAGCTGAAATTACAGATTGTATAAAATCAATTTTGAAACTCTGAAACAAACATTTCTTTGTCTCACCTTTGTGGAAGGCTGTTGTATTAATCTCACTGTAATTCCCCCCTCCTCCATTTGATTCAGAATCTTAATATATTATTCAGAATACACGTACACTGCAGAACATGGTGATATAAAGAAGAGTTAACAAGTCATATCACTATGAGTATAGAAAGTCTTGGACCTGGGCAAAGCCTTCTGACGTTATTAGGAAAGCTGGAAGAAAAGGGTTATAAAAAAGTGTCTTTGACATAAAAAGTAGGTTGTACTGCACCTCAGATTACATTGTCTATAAGAAAAAATGAGTTGCACTGTTATTTCGCGGTAACATCTGCTGCTGAGAAATTGCTTGTAAGTAGAAGTCTGGTCTGGAGCAAAGAATTAAGAAAGTTTTTCATAAAATATGATTGCAGAAACCTATTTTTTATAAGAGTATAAAGCTACCTCTGCAGACACAGGAATCTAAATGTCTGTTTTTACCATGCTGAACTAAAAGAAGGAGGGGTGCGTTACAGATGCTGGAGAACAACACTGAGCGGGACCCGGCACCTGGATGCACTGGCTGGGTTTGGTGTGGACCAGTGGGTGCAGCACCTGAGATGTGCTGCAGCGCTCCCCTGCCATGCACTTCACCCATGTCCCTGCAAACCACTCCTTGCCACTGTCAGCAGGACAGAAGGTTCTGTAGAGCTCACCATGGTGAAGGACAGGAA